CTCCCAGAATTCCTGGCTGGGGAATTCTGGAAGTTGAAGTCCACTCATCTTAAAGTGGCCAAGTTTGGACAATACTGATCTACAGAGTTATCTGGTGTCCTTGCTAATAACAACTGAAGTTTATGGATAAAAATAAATATGTTATTGTCTTACCTGCAGCGCTTCCGGAAGAGCCTGCCACCAGGTCTTGTCCGGCGAGTGTCATCCACGTGGACAACAACTACATCTGCCACCGGTTTGCCCACCTTGGAGCCCGCTCCAGTAAGAAGGGACCGCAGTGCTAGCATCAAACCTCATGATACTTCATCATCCAGGTAAGAAAATAATTGTGGAATTTTTTCACAATAGGGAAAGGCCGTGGTGGCAAGTAGCAGCACAGACGTATTTAAGAAAAATAGAACACATCTGGGGGTGAGTTAGAACATGGTGATTGACTTGGTGCAACCATAAAGATTAAGGTGCTAATTCTCAAAAATGCCCTACTGGGACTAACACAGATGGCCAGCAAGACTTGCAAGTTATTGGCAGCCAAAACAGTCTGAAAGCAGGATTGTAGAGGTATGAAACACAGTGAAATGACTCAGCTGTTGCTCCCGAAAACTCAATATATCGCAACTGGAAATGCTGTCAAACGTACTGTTCCCTCTGTATTCAGCAAAGAAAGGAATAACTTGAAGAATGATGACCCCACACCATATATAAAAAATAATACTCTGCCAAGAAATCCATGTTCTTTTTTTTTTATTGTTATCATTTAACTTGATAGAAAAGAAATTGTTTTCAAATGTTTTTCCCCCCAAGGAACAGGAAGTTTCTGGGAATTTTTCATGGATGAGGTATATGTGTGCATTTAATTTAGTAGCAAAGTGGCCAAGGATGGTCCTGCCTTTTTAGCATAATCCATATCTCCAGTGGGCTATGTCCCCCTTGGCTCTCCCCATTTCCATGCAATAAGCAACACTCCCCTTGACCACCTCACAGCAGTAGCATAAACTCAGATCTGCTACAAAAAGAAATTTTAAAAAAATCTTGAGAATTAGGGGAATGAGGAGAAGGCTCTTTCTCTGGGGATGAAAACATTCAGGGAATTGTGTCCAGCTTTCAGTACAGTGTTAATAAAAGCCCCAAATATCCAGGATAAGAAAATAAATAAGCAGGAAAATTATGAAAGAGTAAACCATTGGTCACTCTCTGATTAACAAATTCCATTACATTAAAACTCTTCACCAGTTAAAAGCTGGTTATCTTGCTTGTAATGGATTCATCCATCAAATAATTGATCTTTCATAAGTGTTAGGTCTGATTGAAATAGACATCTTTAGGATGCACTGCAAGGATGAATGTAGGACATTCAGCATGGTGTGGAAAGAGAAGATCCCGTTCTCAAGTTGTGAAGGGCTGATTTTTTCATTTCCAAAAACGTCTCTAGTGACTAGCCAGAATAATGCATTTTCATATTTTCAAGCAGTTATGAAAATAGTCATTATCTTTTTACTGATTTAAAGTTGTTATTATATAATGGAATAAAGGAAAAATATAATACAGATACAAGTATAACTTTAAATATATTTGATATAAAAATAGTACAAATAAAAACAAATATAAACACTAAAATATGGGCGGATAGTCAACAGATCTAAAATATCATATGACTAATATACTCTAGTACATCTATACTATACACATTTCCTATCCATCAAAATGGATCAAAACAGGTCTCTATTAAATTGTAGAGGCATTTGTTTAACACAATGGAAGTCATTAAAAAGGAAGGAGAAGAGAAACTATAGGTGATAAGCAACTTGTGTTACCCAACTTTGGTAACTTACAGATGTATGAATTTCAACTTCCAGAATTCTCAGCGATAGTTATGCTAATTGGAGAATTAACATTAAGACAATACTGTAAATTGTTTGTTGATTCTATGTTATTGTCTTGACCCTATCACTGTGAGATAAATCAGGCTCTGCATGGAGTTGGAGACAAGGAGTGGGATCAGCAATTATCTGAGAGTCCATTTGGGTCAAAAGCAGGTTGCTATGGGGTTTTCCAATCTTGACAACTCCCAGATGTGTGGATCATCTTCTGGGATTCTCCAATTAGCATAACTATCACTGAGAATTCTGGAAGTTGAAATCCATACATCTGTAAGTTACCAAAGTTGGGTAACACTCATTTGAACCATCAGGTCTTGAAACTTAATCAGTCTGGAAGTGTTCTTCTGTACATAGCCAAGGGCAATAAACTCAGTAGGAGGAAGTTGTGTCTATTTGATAGAAAACATCTAGTTCAGCTCTTACATTTAACAGGTGGAATCATCAAAAGCAGAGGATCTCTTCTCCATTTTATTTTTGGCAATAAATATGTTTTTTCCCTACCTTTCACTAGTACATATTTCATTTGAGGGTTGTTTCAATAAAGGAACTGTAATAATCTTTATTATCAATAGGAAATTGTACTCATGCAATATATGAGAAATAGAGTACGTGAGAGGAGTTAACTTGAAGAGATCCATTTCCATCCATCTGAAGTTCTTCTGTTAATAAGTACAAAAATGTAGTCTTCCCTCCATATCATGATTAGGATCAGGTGTTCTTGCCTTTTCCATTCAGACAAGTGTCAGCCCACTAGGTAGACTACACCAGGAAGTCAACTCTACTTTTATTCAGACTGGCTATAATAACAGAATCTTGCAAGTCTATACTATACTTCCTCTTTCTTCTTGCAATTCAACAAATCAGGATGGCATTTCAGGGTCCTAAAATGTTTCAGCCCCCTTGGCCTAGGCAATGGCTCTTGCGTATTTCTTGCATATTTCTGTCAAGGTCTGTGGGGTCTGGATGGGGAACAACAGGCTTCAGCTGCACCCTGGTAAGACAGAGTGGCTGTGGATTGGAGGCCCCTCTGTATCTGAGAACTTACCATCTTTGGTTTTGGACAGGGTGGCACTGCCCCAGACAGACCCAGTGCATAACCTGGGGGTCCTCTTGGACTTACAACTCCTGCTCGAGGAGCAGGTGGCAATCATGGCCAGGAGGGCCTTGTCCACCTTTGGTTGGTGCACCAGTTACGCTCCTTGTTGGATCAGCAGGCTCTCCGGTCAGTCATTCATGCCCTGGTCATCTCTCAGCTAGACTATTGCAATGCACTCTACATGGGGCTACCCTTGAAGAATATCTGGAAGCTACAGCTGGTTCAAAATGCAGCCACGCAGATGATATTAGGTGCCCCTAGGTTGGCACATGTAACACCTTTGCTCTGGGAACTGCATTGGATGCCAGTTTGCTTCCGGGTCCAATTCAAGTTGTTGGTTATCACCTTTAAAGCCCTACATGGCCTGGGTCCAGGTTACCTGAGGGACCGTCTCATCCCCATTACATCAACCCCTCCCACCCGGTCAGCCAAAAAGGGCATGTTGCAGACCCTGTCAGTGAGAGAATGTCAGCTGGCGGTGCCCAGGAGGAGAACCTTCTCTGCCATCGTCCCACCCTTTGGAATATTCTTCCTCCAGAGGTGCGGCGGGTCCCTACCCTCCTGGCTTTCTGGAAAGAACTAAAGACCTGGCTCTGCCAATGTGCATGGGGCGATAGGAGCTCTAACCATCCTTGGGCATGGTTAGCACCCTGATGGCGCTTCTTTGAATTATCTGCCAACTCTCCATCTTTCTTGGAAGCTATTTATTTATTATCAGGACTGTTTTATATTGTACTTCAATGAATTTTATCTATGCTGTAAACCGCCCAGAGTCATTTCAACAAGATGGGCAGTGACAAATCTGATAAATAAATGAATAACGGTCATATTCCTTACTCTCTACTCAAGTAATTCCTGTGAATAAACTCTTACTTTTCCCTGTCAATCGACTATAACATGCGTGCTTCTACTAGGGCAGTAGAGTTCTGTTTTTTCCTACATGTATTCAAGTCCTGGTGGGTTTAGATAAGGAACAGGGTTGTTTGCAAACCACTTGTTAAAACCACTTTATGGTTGGAGGAACTAAGAACAAGAAGGAAGTGTTGAAGGCACATTTGCACGATGACACGGTTTGTATTTATTGCAAATATCAAGTTGTACTGAAGAATCTGAACAAATATACTCCATCCATGTTTTATGGGTGTTAGTAATCTAAATGTTCCGCTGAGCGTGTAGAGAACAGTTGTGCATGCTTGGAAGGGTGTCCATGCAAATAAATTATTCTTGCAGATGATTTCATTTGGCTAATTGAATTCCAAATATAACCCTCCTCCCTCCCCACACTAACATGCAGCTTTACCTTTCTTAAATTGGAATGATGGCAAAATTGCCTTTGTGTCCAGTTTGTGAGCTTCCTGTAAACATCTGATTGGCTGTTGCAAGAAACATGAAGTTGAGCTCAGGTTACAAGTTCCTAGGGATTATGATCATCACTCTGACCTCTGTTCTTTCTAAGGAAACAACAAAAGCATGCCAGTAAAAATTGTGCTGTATTTCTCTTTTATTTTCACAGCTCTGATTCATGGAACAATTCTCTTCTGATGACTCTCACCAAAAGCAGATCGTTCTCAGCTTCCTATGCGATGTCTGCTGCCAACCATCTGACTTCAAAGCGGCCAAGCCGACAAGGTGGTTATCTATTGAGTATATTGACTTTATGAATTCTAGACAGCTGAAACTAGTAAAGAGGTAGTAGAGCTATAATGGATTTCAGGTTAAATCCCAAAAGGTTCTTAAGTGAAATGACATTTGGGGGCTGGGTGAGTATTTCTTGTCCAGTTTTTTTTTAACCAGTACTGATATGTAACAGGACTACAGGTACTCCTCGTTTAACAACCACAATTGGGACTGGAATTAAGGTCACTAAGCAATGTCATTAAGCAAATCATCACTTGATCGGACCTGATTTTATGACCTTTTTTTTGCAGCAGTCATTAAGCGAATCACCATGTCATTAAGTGAATTGTGCTGTCATTAAGTGAATCACACGGTTCCCCATTGATTTTCCTTGCCAGAAGCAGGCTGAGAAGGTCGCAAACGGCAATCATGTGACCCTGGGACGCTGCAAACATCGTAAGCGTAAGCTGGTTGCCAAGCACCTGTATCGTGATAATGTGACTGCAGGGGTGCTGCAACGGTCATAATTTCAGGCACCGGTCATAAGTAGCTTTTTTTAGTGCTGTCGTAACTTTGAACAGTAGCTAAGCAAATGGTTGTTAAGCAAGGACTACCTGTAATAATTTTGTTTTTAGCACAGATCGTATGTTGAACTGAGCAAGAGATAGAAGGAATTTGCTCAACTTTAATCTATTCAGTGTCAGGCAAGCTGAAAGGCAAAGAGTTCTTTCACACTCTTTTCCCCACTTAGAAACAACAAAAGATTGTAAGAGCTTTCCCCTTGTTAGACATTTCAAGACTACAGCAGAGATGAAATAGCCATAATACTGAAATCCAGTTTATCATTATAAGAACTCATCTAGATAAGTCTGATATGCTGATGAGAGAATGCCTTTTGCATTATCACAACTCCTGAGCTATAGTTAATCTTAACTATAATTTGAGCTTCATAACACATAGAAAAATCCTTAACATCAATCTGGCTGTTGGATGCTCTTCCAATAAGTAGATGAGGGTCATGATGTTCTCAAACTGCATGAAGACACATAGCTATATTTAATTACTTTTCAAACTAAGATACCCTGTTGTCAGTGGCTGCCTTCTTTGGAGATCTTCTGAACATGTCTCTAGAATAGCCCAGAAGAGTGATCTCAGGACCTGCGATATCCTAGTCAGCCACCACAGATACACTTAAGAACATTATGGTGTTATAATAAATCACTGAAGACTCAAATGGAAAATGTTCACAGTGTGTCCATTGAAATGTTAACATTTACATTCTTGAGTGAGATTTTTATACTTTGGGTAGAATTGCTGTAAGCTGTCCAACCTTCAGTTAGTTGGTAACTGTAGCCTTTGAGCCTATCACCATAAAGGGAGACTCCATACTTTGTGGTAGAAGACATGCAGAGGATCTCAGGTTCAGTCTGTGGCATCTCCAGGTAAAGGATCTCGGGAAGCAAAGTTCTAACCTAAAAGGGCTACTTTAAGATAATAGACACCATATGTTGTTCTTGTTATTATCAGCCCAAATCAATCCACTGTATTGATCTTCGTTTAAGATTTTGGACCATAACTTAACCTACTGCACAGGTTTTTCAACTTTTCAGTGTAGGACTGAGAAAGAGTGACTGATTCAAATCACCCTTCGGCTTTTGTGCCTAAGGGAGGACTAAAATCTGGGTCTCTCTGCTCCTAGTCCAGCACCTTAACTGCTACACTACACAGGCTCTCAGGCATAATACCTACTGACTAAATAGAGTTACTGGGAGTCAGGTAGTGTACAAATTTAATAAATAAAAATAAAAAAATTCTGGAACATATCACCAGATCATCTCCAGATACAATAGTTCCAGGGAAAACTTTCAGAAGGTGTTTCAACTAGCCAATAATCAAGGAATGAGTTCTCCGCAAATAGAAAAATTGAAGACTGCTGATAGGAGCAGAGCAAACTGCCTTATACCAAGTCACCATGTCTGTGGTAATTGATAATGGTGCTTTAGTTTTTTCCTCCATTAGCTAAATATTTTTAACTGGTAATGCTGGGTGTTTCTGTATGTGCTTTACACCAGTCTGTGGTTTCTAAAGAGTTGTTTAATTTAATTACCCCACTTTGGTTTAATTTATTAGTATGGGCTACTTTAAACCATGGGATAGTTAAAGCTACCAAATTCTTTTGTCAGCAGTCCTAGTCATTGAAAGATCTGTTGACGTCTGCTCAGATAGAGGCTTGGCTTCATGAAGAGATGGTATACGCTGACCATTTTTAAAGTGATTATTGATGTTTCTCCTATTCCACAGGTATCCCCCCAAATATTTCACCTCTTGTCTCCCCAAGCCATTCACCCATCCAGGGTACACCAGTCAATAGTCCCATCAGCAGAACCTCAGGAGAACAATTTCCAGAGTCAACAGCCATGGCCACTACACAAACCATCAAGCCCCACAGGCTCTTAGGTTGCACTCAGAGCGCCCCTAACCTATCAGAGCCTGTGGAAGGCACCTCCGTCATTTGCAGTAGGTAAGATAATACATTGGTTTTTGTTGGAACATCTTATATTTTCCTTGGTCATGTAATTCTTTCTTGCTCTCTGAAGCTTCTTCTGTAGAGCACATTGATATCAGTGTCTTGGTCAAGTCCTTCCCAACCTGGTCCCCTCCGTATGTATTGGAGTTCAGCTAACTAGGATGGCCAGTAGCTGGGGAATTCTGAGATTTGAAGTCCAGCACCTTCTACAGTGTGCAAAATTGGGGAAAGCCAGTGGTAACCATATTTCAAGTGTGTAATATGTGTGTCTGGATTAGAAAAAATCATCATCATCATCCCGCCTTTTTGTCTGTCCGTCCGTCCATCCATCCATCCATCCATCCATCCATCCAGTTGGAGAACATGCCTAATACTTCTGCCTCCTATGTTCCTCACAACAACAGCAACCCTCTGAGGTGGGTTGGACTGAAAGAAAGTAACTGGCCCAAAGTCAGTCAGCTGGCTTTCATGCCTAAGGGAGGCCTGGAACTCACAGTCTCCTGATTTCTAGGCCAGCACCTTCACCACTACACCAAACTGGCTCTCCGTAAACATGTCACTCAGTTGCCAAACATATGCTTCAGATGCAGAAGGGTCTACATCTGATTTAATTTGCAGCTTAAGGTGCACGTGATGGAACTAATCTATGCCTGAGATCCAAGAATGATTGGTTTTAAAGGTAGTTAAGACAGGTCCATAGCAAATAAAAGCTAGCATTAGAAACCAGTTATTACAGCTATGTTCAGGATGAGAAATGTGTCTTTGAATGCTAATGTCTGAGAGAACAGAGATATCCTACTCTCCCATGGAAGCAGGAAGTGAGTCTATTCTGGCAGAGCTCAGCTTTAATTCTTATCCATCAACAGCTGCCAATATTTGTAAAGAATAGTGGGCAAGAATGATGAACCAGTTGATTGATCTACTGTGAGGCAACTGCTGTGTTTACAGCAGAGGTGTGCCACTTTTCCTGCTGAGAGTCTGAGACCAGCATTTGCCCTTTGAGAGATGTGTCAGCAGCAAGACCTCCCCATTGGGCCAGGTTCAGAATTATTTTTGGTTCAATGTTGGTTAAATTGAAAGAAATATAAATACAAGTTATTACTCTCCAGTCACAAATTCCCCCGTTTGTCACTCTAAAAAGAACAACTTGGTAACCACTTCTGAAGATTCCTGGGCATCCTATCTAAGGTTTTAGGGGCTGCATTAAAAAAGTACAAACTCATCTCTTTTAGGAGGTGGCACTCTGGTGGCCTCCATTGGTTTTTGGTTTCTGCTTATGAAGTGGGAGAATAAGGGTGTGGCACGTAATCCCTGCAGGATGCTCTTGTTGAATAATCAAGTGATGGTCAAGTTCAGACACTTGGAATTGTTCTTGGCGGATACACAGTTCTTCAAGATAGCTCACATCTTGACTTCATTTCCCCCAAATGACTTTGTGGAAATGAAATATGTGGAATGGATTCAGTTAGGTGCTCCTTCCAGATAGTCTTGTCATTTCCCAATGAAATTGATTTAGGTCATGTACTTTATTCCTGAGTTAGGTATGTTGAAGGCTGAGGTCCAGGGAAATAAGTTCAGTGGACAAACTTATAAATGAAAGTGTTTGAAAAACTTTGATCAGTTGTTTAGTACTGTCAGTTTCACCAGATCCAGGTTCAAAGCCCTTGTAAGGACTCCAGTGTGAGGTCTTCCAAACAAATCTGTATTGCTTCCCCATGAAAATTAAACTTGGAATTGGAGGGGGGATTTACAGCATGATTTGGATCCAAAGAATTCTAGTTCAATTCTCAAGTTCAGGGAGGAGGTGGTGAAAAAGAAAGGACATTTGCCCAATTAATAAAACTAAATTGTGTAGCAATATAATTTTCCATGAATCCTTTTGTGTGGTGAAAAAGAACTGAATGCTTTAAACATTGAATGCCATGAACAATCCTAAGAGCATGTTATCCTGTCCTGTCTAGGGACAAATGAACCCCAAACTGCTTCTCCATTCCAATAATAGCATTATGTCATCACCTACTTGAAACATTTCCTTTTAAAATGTGGCCCTTGGATGAGAGGAAGAATAGGTTGATCTGATATGATAGAGGGAATCTCTGCACAATCTAATCAAGTTACCCAGCGGCTTTCTATTGTAATAAACAATTTCTACCCAAAACCTAGATTGTGTTCTGTGCCATCATTTAGAAAACTGCAATACGACTGTAAGTATTATTTTGGGCTATCCTCCTGGATTAAGTTCTTGGCCTTCTGTAACCAGTTGTACCCTACATCTACATTAGGAAGGAAACAGAGAATCCAAGCAACAAATTATTTGGTCTCACTTAAGTACATCTGGATTTGAATTCTACCTTCTCAGCTTCTAAGGGGGCATTGAAGGGGTATCTCTCCCATGCAAGTTGCAGGAAGGGCAAAATTCACCCTGGTTAGGTTTCCCCCTTGTGTAAGTCTGATGGGAAAGTAAGTCAGAGCTGTGACATTTCATAATATGCTGAGTACTTAAGATACAATAAATTTAAATTATGAACTTACAGAAGATTATTTCCAGGGGACCATTTATATGTGAGAAAGCCAACAAATACTGACACTTGGAATTGGTTTACAGACCGTTTTATTAATCAGAGAATTGCAATCCTAGCGTGCAATCATGTAGCTTCTCTTCCATCACACTTTGTAATTCTTAAGGTTTCTGAAACTAAAGCTGACCCATCTGCTCCCATTCTTTCAGCAATCAGAACCTTCTAAGATCAGGTTGCTATCATGAGGGCTCAAATCACACTTTTGGCAGCCCATATTTTCATTTTTAAAAATGCACTTGGCAAAATAAGGACTTAATTATCTCAGGCCTCTGCTGAGCTCCCACCAACTCCCAAAAATCTGAAATCCCACTCCAGTGATATTGCTATGCCCCCTTGAGGTTCTCAAAGGCCAATTTCTAAACACCCCCCCCACCAAAAACCTGTGACTCCTAGTCCCCAAAAGATTATCATCTCTATTTTAGAGTCACTGTTTCTTCACCTTTACATTGCTTCCCTCTTAGCCTGTTTCACTGTAAGTTCACCGCTTGATGAACACTTGATGATCATCACATGATGACTTTAAGAAAATAAGAGCCCTTTGAGGCTAGATCACAGTCTATCTAAATTAGAAATCTTTTCCGATTCTGATCTGCCAGATACTACTGTGAAGCCAGTTGAAAACATTATTCCTCCCTCTCTATTGATTCTTGCTGAGATAAACCCTGGCAACTGTTTATACCTCTGCAAAACCCAGAGGTTTCATTTAGCCATTGAAAGGTCAATCTTCGATTAATTTATCAGAGTGAGCAATATAAATTATAGGTCACATATGGCCCCTAATCTTTT